TGCATCCTTTGGAGGTTGGTGGTCACCACCTTGGCCATCCTACGGCTGCTGCAGGTTCTCCTCTGGCTCCTGGGGGACTCGGACTCCCTTCAGATGGCCGGGAAACCCTCCCGGCATTGGATTTAATCCCTCGCCAGCCAGCCGGGCTGGAGCCACATCTGCCCACCCCTCCAACGCGGCCATCCTTGAGTGCCTGGGGGTGGGTGATTGGTTGCATTTCACAGCAGAACACCCCAGGGCTGAGACTGGGGGCTTCTTTTGGTAACTTGAACTTTGAGGGAAACTCTCAGCAGTGGAAGATGGCGGGGGGGAGGCTTGTGAAATGCTTGTGAAATGAGCTGGGAGCTCATGGCATCCCCGCGAGGACCCCCAAGTGTCTTCGCAAAATCCCTTTGGGGCTTTATGCTTAGCCTCGGGAACGCCGGGAGGAAATGAGATGGGGGGGCTGGGGAGTGCCCCCCTTCCTTGCAGGAGGTCACAGGGCATCATCTTGAGCCCCAACAAACTACCTGGCACTGGAAGGGCATGGTCCCTCTGTCCTGGTCCCTTCTCCTGCTCACACTTGTCCCCATCTCCTGGTTGTTCTGGTCCCTCTTCTTGTCCAGCTTGTCTCCTGCTCCCACTTATCCCCAGCCCAAAGACTTGTCCTTGTCCCCTGGTCCCACTGGTCCCCTCTCCTGGTCCCACTTGCCCTCATCTTCTGGTCCCACTTGTCCCATCTTCTGGTTGCATTTTTCCCTTCTCCTGGGTCTTGTTCCCAACCCCTGGTCCCATCTCTTTGTCCCAACTCCCCGTCTCATTTGTTTCCCTCTCCTGCTCCCATCGGTCTCCTGGTACCATTTGTCCTCTCTCCTTCTCATCTCCGTCTCCCTGTCCCACTTGGCCCCTCTCCTTGTCCCACTTGCTCCCCATCCCTGTCCCACTTGGCCCCTTCCCTGGTCCTGCTCTCAGGGGCAGCAGAGGTAGTTTTGGGGCAGACCCAGCAGGATTCAGTGCAGCCTTTTGGGGTTGGAGCCTTTTGGGGCTGGAGCCTTTCTCCATGGAGGAAGCCCAGGGCAGCCCCCCCAGGCCCCAGCAAGCGCAGCCACGAGGGTAATGTGGTTTTGGCCCAGCTGTGAGCTGAGACTGGGGAAACTCGTGTCGTGCAAAGCAGCTCCATGCGGCGGATGCTGCTGGGCACCTGCATCACAACAGTACATGTGGTCCCACGTGGGGCAAATGCCAAAAAAAGGGGTAAACCCAACTGCTCCAGTCCCAAAATGGGCTCTCTGCCCCAGAGCACATTCCCAGTCTGGTGCAGCTTTGGGACTGGGGCTGGATCTGGCCCCAGATTGCTCCATTCAGCATCACCCTGGGCACCGTGGCCCATCCTGCCTCATGCCCCGTGCCCAGTGTGGGGCGATTTGCGTTTAATTTTCTAAAAATTTCCACCCAGAGAGTAATTTCTCCTTTCACAAATAACCTCTAAGTGAAAAAAATGGAGAAAAAGTACTTCAAAACAGGTTAAAAAACACCCCAGAGAAACGAAACAGTTTTCTGCCAAACTAAATGTTGTGAAGACGCTTTTGCAAATGTTCTATTTGTTGGGCATTTTTTGGGGGGGTGTGTTTGTTTAGTTATTTATTCCCCTATGCACGCCCTGGGTTGCTGCACCCTGACCCAGCTCTCCTCCGTGGGCATCCCCTAACCACTCAGCCCCTCTGACTCCAATCAACCCCACTTCAAAATCCCTTTTTTCCCCACTTTTTTTTATAGCTGCTGGGTGTTGCGGGGCCTCCCCTCCCCGCCGGCAGCGACATTTCCCGGGCTGTACGTCATGTTTGCTTAAGAGCAGAGTTACTGCCGGGGAGGAGGTAGGGAGCTGCCGCCCCGGAGGGCTGCGGGAAGGGGGTAAAAGTGAGGAAAATAGGGAAAATGGGGAAAAAAATCCTGTCCTTTTTTTCAATATGTCCTTTGGGAGGGCTCAGAAAAGCTTCTTGGTCCCTCCTTGGGGGGTCTCAGTATTGTTTCCCCAGTGTTTAATTAATGTGTTTTTAAAGCCCGGAGGTTGAAATGTTGTTAAAATATCCCATGTTGCCAAAATACAAGGGAATGGGGGGAATTTGTGATGGATTGAGCAGCACTGGAGCAGAAGCATCTCCGGTGTCGTGTCACCCCCCCACCTCCCCCCCGGCTGGTGGGTGATGCTGGGGGATTCACGAGCTGCTTTTCTCCTAAAAACTATAATTTTAGAGAAAAACTGTGTCCAGGTGAAGCAGAAGTTTGGCCTCCAAGGCCCATCCTACGTGATCCCCACTGCGCCCCCCCCCCAACTTCCAGGTCCCATCTTGGATGATCTCCCAGGTCTTATTACAAGGGATCTCCCAGGACTCATCTCAGATAATGTCCCAAGCCCCATCCTAGATGGTCCCACATGTCACATCCCACGTGAGCCTCCTCCAGGTCCCGTCGTAGCTGATCCCGCAGGTCATATCCCAGTAATTGCCCAGGTCCCACACCGGATGATCCCCCAGGACCCATCCCAGGTGACCCCTAAGCCAGGTCCCACACTGGATGATCCCCCAGGACCCATTCCAGATGACCCCTAACCCAAGTCTCACACTAGATCATAGTCTCATAGAATCATGGAGCAGTTTGGGTTGGAAGGGACCTTAAAGCC